TTTCTATAAAAAAAAACAAAGTCAAACGGATATCAAACTTTCAACATTTTTCAGGTGAAAAATTATACCAATCAAACACAATTAATTATAATTCTCAGTAAAATAATTTCTAGACAATTCAATTCCCTGAAATTCATTTTTTTTCCACCCAAATTCTACTCTTATAATCAAACGGACCCTTAGAGTTCATGGCATCACCTAGATTCCAAATTTCACTTTCTTTGAACTGTAATTTGCTTGGATTGGCTTGTGACTCTTGGTATTGTTATACACAACAATTCTCTAAGCATCATTTCAAATGTTTTCTATAGATGGCCCTTAATGCTTACATATATACAAAGAATAATTAACTCAAAATAAATAAAATATTATTTATTAATAGACAAAGAAAAAATGTCATAAATTCTAGAGGTCACCAATCCCAGCATCATTACACAGAACACTTGTAAGTCACCCTATCAAATGAGGAGAACTACATGTACAAATACAAAAGCATTACAGATACTCACAAGTGCGGGGTGGGTGGATAATTTTTTTACATTTTTATTGTGTGGGACCCACTCTCATGTGAGAGGGTGTAAGGCTTATGTAATGTTTTTCTCCAGTACAAATGGAAATTTCCATATCAAATTTGGGCAGATAATCGTAGTGTGATCATATGAATCAACTCCCATATCAAATATCATTAGTGATTCATAATCATAACGCATACTAAAATCAATTTGCCTCTTTTTCAGAACCATCAGAGTCATCCTCTGTTGACTCATGACCGTTATGCCTCTATGATTGCCAGGTCATCGAGCCAACACGACCTTTCGTATACACAATTGTGCTACCCCAGAGAGTTACATGATTTTTTCTATCTGATCCCAAAACTAAAGCAATGGAATCAAATGGAGATAATTAACACTTTAAAAACTCATTAATTAAACATGTCAATACAAAATTTGAGAAAAAAAAAATGGAGAAAACATCAACATTTTATTTATATCATCTTCAACTATCAAACCCAACTTACTATTCCGGCGCCTATATATATGTCAACCTAATTGAGAGTTTAATTGATATTGAACTTTAGTCCCTAAATTCTTCTGTAAATAATTACTAAGTCCTAATTTAATAAATAACAAATACCTAAATAACAAGCATAAAACAAAAAATAAAATGGAATCTAACCATCAAGCATTCCATCTTCATCAACTTTTTGAGAGCTCTAATTAATATCTTACTTTGCCTTGAAGTTCAATCTTGAAAGGTCTATTTTGAAATTAAAAAAAAAAGGTCTACCAACCGTTTACATAAATGTTAGAAATGTTTACTCGTTTAATAACAAGTTTGAACTAGTAAGAGATGACTGAAAATATTTCTTAATTATTTTGAATCGCTAATCAGTACAAACATTGAGTAGTTGAATAAATGTGAAATATATTTAGCATCTGTTTGGGACGAATTTATAAATGGTTTAATTTATAAAAAGTTAGATATACATTATGAATAAATCGATAGTACATGTAAATTCATTAAAATGTGTGGTTGAAAAATAAATTTGACCATTTTTAAGTGATTTAATAATTTGGTCACATGGAGGTTTAGTAAACGCGGCCCTTTAAAAGAAGGAATGATAAAGTTTGACAAAAAAGAGTTTGAAGTTAAAATAAATAAACCAGTAAAACAATTCTTAATTAATCACTAATCACTGTCATTCATGTAGTCAGTTCTTATTAAAAACAGCAGTTGGTATTGCTAACAAGAATTATGGCTGGTGAAGGTGAATATACACTTATTTTAAATTTTTAATATTCTTAAATATAAGAAAACCAACCACCTCAGTTGATTCCCTAAAATTCTTCAAATTTGAACATTTAAATATATGGAACAACATGTTGAATAAATTGGGTTTCTTGCAATGGGTAGCCTCCTTTTTTAAAATTAGTTTAAAAAGTCTTGTATTTAAGTATTTTAAATATCTCTGCTTAAAAACTAGTCAAAGTAACTTCAATTCAGTCAAAATCGACACTAGCTAATGCAATAAAAATTCGACCTATTTTCTGTCTTCAAATCTTGTTTGCTTCCATGGCAGCGAAGAAGTAGGGGGTTGGGAATCGGCAACTACAGAGAGGACAGGGACAAGTGGTTGGACCGGTCGTGGGTTTGGGGTGGGGACGGTGATATGGGTTTTGCAACACGAGCAGGGCCGACGTACCATGTTCGTTCAGCTTTGCGGTCACACAGGGGCAGAGCCAAGAATGAATGGTATGAGGGGCAAAAAAAATTTAAAGTTTAATGTACGATTAAAATTTATATATGACAAGAAAAAATTGTAATATAATGTTACCTATTACAGTTGTACCCGACGATATTTTA